AATCAATACATGCTGAAGATTTTTTTTTAATTAAAGAAATTTAAAGAATTGAGATTGAGAGATTGGAGGCTCCGCATAAAAGGCTTTAGGGGGTTTAGAGAAACCTCATTTCCTTAATATATTTACAATTAAATCTATATATGGGTGCCAATTGCGATTTTTAAATGTCTTTTTTTTTATATTCTTTAAATGTCTTCTTTTTTTCCTTTTTTATATTATATATTAAATTTAATTATTTATGGAAAAAGATTTTATATAGTCATATGTTGTTGGATTTTAAGAAATTAAATGTTTTTTTTTATTATATTATATTAAAGTTTAATTTTGATACAGTAATCATTAATGTGTTAGTTGGACTTTTTTCAAGAATTTTTTTTTTTTTTTTTTTGATACTTGTTCTATAATGCATTAAGTGTTAATTATAAGGGATAATCAAATTCATATGTGTTGGGACTTTTCAGGGAATTCATATGGTGGTTTTTTTTTTGTTGGAATCAAATAAATTTTTTTTTTTATGTTTATTCTTAATACATTAAAGTGTTTTATTTGAGTGGAAGACTGGGGGTTAGGAGAAAGTTAATAAATGCTATGTTTTTTTTAAAAAATTTAAAAAAAATTAAGAAATTAGATTGGGGAGAATTTGGGGGAATAAACTTCTGTTAAATCCCGACAACGCTTGGGGTACGGGGTTAAAAATCCCCTTTTTTATTTAATATATAGTATAATAGATAGATATAGATATATTCTAAAAGAAGACTATTGAATTGGGTCGGTGGTTCAGGTTGTAATTCTGGCCTCATTATTTAAATAACCATAGCACAATAGTATGGAGGACGTTTAGGTCTCTCCATATGCATTATTGCCCCTTCTGTTTCAGGCTTCGTTGGGAGAAAGGCTAAAAAGATCCCTTGGAAAATTTCAGACTTTAAATTAAGATTATGTTTTGGCAGCTACGAAGGCTGAATTATAAATACATTTCAGATATTTATTTAAAAATATAATTGTCGTTATTTAAATTATATTTATATAAAAGTAATTTTTTTTTTTGTTATTTTATTTTTTTTGTTTTATGGCTGAACATTTTTTAATGTTTAACGACACAGAATTAAATTTTTAAAAAAAAAATCATAAAAAATTTACTCTCCTATACAATAATAAATAAAAATAAATAAAAAAATTAACTTAAAATTTTATCATGAATATAAAACATATTTTTTTTTTTTTTAACACATTAAAAACTTAAAAAAAATAACTAAAAAACAAAAAAAAATAACGACAAAAAGAAAAGAATTAAAAAAATAAAAAAGAAAAAAGAAAAAAAGAAAAACAAAAAAAAGAAAAAAAAGAAAAAAATATAAAAAATAAATTGTTTAATTTAACTTGATTAAATATATTATAAATGGCTGATTTTGTTTTATAAAATTAAAAAACTTTCTGGAGTGAAATATAATTTCAAAAAACTATGGGCAAGGCGATTTATATTTTAAATCAATATCAAAAATTGTATTTAAATTTACCCATTTAAATTCTAATTTATTCACCTTGAGACTTTCGATTAAAAATCACGGTGCTTCATTCAAACTCCTTGAGACTTGGATTGAACCATGGTCCTTTCATTCACACGTTGGAACTTCCAGTGCAGCACCACTTGCTTTTATGCTTCGTTGTGTTTACAAATTTTTTTAGTTGGAAAATTTTAATATATTAAAATATTATTTATAAAAAAAATTGATAAAAATAATATGGAAATACTATTATTATAATGATATTTGTTATTCTAGTGAAAGTTTATAATAAATCAAATTGGTTATGTATGAAATTATATATAAATAAAAAATTTATATAACATTAACAACTTTTTTTTAGATGGAGAAATTTGGTTAATAGTATGACTTATCTTTTTTTTTTTTCAATGTTAATTAAATCTTTTTAATTTTTTAACCTTTTCCTCATTTGTTTATATTCAATTCTCGCTAAATTAAGGTAGAAAATGAACTAACCTAAATAAGGGTATTAGTAAATTTAAAAAATCATTCATTTATGCAGTGGTAACACTTACATTTGAAAAGATAAAGGGTGCAGTGTGATTTCAATAGTATC